CCTAAACCCAAAACCCTAAAGCCCATCAGGTTCGCCTGCCTTCTCTGGAAGGGCATCGGTGTAGACAGTTTAGGCCCCAAGGGCGGTGCTTCCTCGGCAAGGCAAATGCTTCGCAGACGCTTGAAAGCAGGAGACACAGAAGGTTTAGGGTTTAGGCGCTCAGCCAGCGTTAACGGTAACCGTTAACGCCCGTACGTGAGCATGCAGCTGCTCGAATACAGCGAACCCAGTGAGAAACAGCCGACAGGAGCAAAGCTATGCCAGAATGAACTCGCCATCTTTCATGGCACTGCACCTGAAAGGCAGCAACCAAGATCCATCTCAGCTGCGATCGTTGTCATGCCAAAAAAGCGGATTAGTAAGCCAACGCAATTTCCCGTTCCGATCCCACAAGGCAGAGGGCAGGAAGGCCCAACATGTTTTCTACAGTGCATCACATTGAATCGAATGTGACCGTGATGCGGAGGCTAGCCAGCATCCCGGGGCAGCTCGCTTTGGTGCTAGCACGCGTCCTCGCTTGAGGGCGGACGCGCCCAGGACCTTCATGGACCTTCCTGCTCCAGCCGGGCACGGAAGGGTTGTTGCCCTGTCAAAGGGCTTCCCACGCCCCGGGCACCCATCTTGAACATCTGATGCGCGAGTTTTCGTAACACAAACAAACATTCCTCTGTTGTCGTTGTGTCCATGAACCAGGAACTGCGCGGCGGTTTCAGAAGGCCCGATGTGCGCAACAATCCTGCATTGGAGGGGTTTGGATGCGGCTTTGGAAAGCAAGCTCATCATCTGCCCAGCCGTGACGAAGGTCCATGCCAAATAATCCTGGCAAGTTTGTGGCACGTGCTTGAGTTTCTGCATGTCGTAGTGCATAGTTCTTTGGTCCTGCCCGCTGCCAGGGCAGCCCTACAGAAAGCGCGTGCCCAGGTCGACATTCCCTTTGCATCCTTGTCCATGTCCCCAAATGCCAAAGTTCTTGTCGAGGGCTATGGCTAGTCGCTTCGGTCTTGTGTGGGCCAGCCCACATAGCAGAGCACCCTTGACATAACCACGCCTCAACCCTAACTTTTGAACACTAAGACATAATGCCAACATTTCTTAAACCCTAAACCTTCAAATCTAAGCCCAAAATATGCCTCTACTCTAAAGCCTAAGCCTTAAACCCCCAAGCCACGGCACTTGGTGGCTACGGCCATGACCAGAGCTGGATGCCGACGGTAAGCCTGGCACATCCCACAGAGCTTATCACGCAACAGCCAGCGAGGTTTCTCAAATTTCAGAAAGATCTGAAAGCAAGAACAGTAACTAAGGATAAGGACAAGACTACTCAGCGATTGATAACAAAGTAACCATAACAATCTTGATGATCTTGTCACCTTGCCAGTAATTGTCAGTGATGGTCGCTCGAAATGAGTGCAACTGCAGCTCTTCGTTCAAGTTCATTTGGGTAGTTTTCTACTTCAGGGTCCCTTTTTAGGTTCCCAACCTAGTACGGCAGCGTTATACAAAGGACCCTAAAAGGGACCCTAAACCCTAAACCCTAATCCCTAAACCCTTATCCCTAAACCCTGAAAGCCCTAAGAGAACTACCCTAATATGCAGGTCTCACCTGGCCGGCTGATGCCCAGGATCTCACGCACAGCACCGATCTCCTCCCTCGACAGCCCATCAGCGCGAATTCCGCTGTCCTGGATGTGGGTAGTTCTCTAAATTAGGGACCTTTTAGGTCCCCAGTGTACTACGGCATGCTTATAAAGTGGACCCTAATTTAGAGAACTACCCATCTGCGTCCGATTCCCCCACAAAAAAGAGAACAGGTGGACGCTCCAAGTTCAAGCCTCCCGGGGCGAGTCCAAGGGCGCAGCATTTCTTCTCGAGGCCGGGCCCGCCCCGGCCTCTTCCAGGAGCGGCTTGGAGGAGTCCTTCGGTTGATGGACAAAATCCTGCATGACCTTATATCCCGAACCTATGGGATTTATGGTACTATACTATATTTGGGTCATGCAGAATTTTGCCCATCAACAGTTACGCACGCGGGCGCAAGCGCGCGAGGGCGCAAGCGAGGCGGACGGAGGTCTGTTGGAGTCAAGCTGCTGGGCTCAAAGCAAGATCCTCGTCCGCGTCTGCGTCACTCTCGGCCTCCAGAAGGCTCCTCCCAAAGCCGCCTGGGAGTTCGGAAGCAGCCTCACAGATGGCCACCACGGCCTCGGCCGTGGTGGCTGTGGGCGCCTCTGCGTTTTGCAGGGCTTCCCAGCAAGTCTCCTCCACGAAGCTCGGCTTCTCCAGCGCTTTCTTGGGAAAGTCGAAGAGCCCCGAGCTGGCACCGCCGGTTCTCGCGAGTGGCAGAATGCAGGCACCCCGCTTCAGGGCCAACCGAGCTTGCTTCGCAACACCCGGACCGCCCTCCAATACGATGTACACGTCGCCCAGCAAGCTAAAGATCTCCTGCAAACCAGGCACACAAAAGGCGAATGCTTCTCGCTCGACATTCTGTGAGGAGGTCCTTTCTTTCAGAGATGCTCTCGCCGGCGCTCAGCTCCGTTCCGTGCCAGCTGCAGGCCTCCCGCGCATTAGATGAGAGACAACCTGACGTGCTCCAGACTGCTCAGAGCTGAGACTCAGGAGTCGGGAACATCAAACCCGCGGATCTCAATGCGTCGCACCTGCCCCTCAAGGACAAGGTTGTGCAGTATAGTCTCGCTGCAGTGTCTCGCGAAGGCATTTTGGATGCCCGGCATTCCTTTCAGGGAATCACATCGACGAACAAGCCTGACGCCCTGAAACTCGAAGTGCTGAAGCTTGACCCGAAGCCCTCATCCTCATGAAACAGCACGCTGATTAGATCAAGGTCGGCTGACTTCTGAACGAGCACTGGCCAGACCTTCTGTGAACGCAAAGACGCGGCCCTTCAGCTTTGAGGACAGGCCCTGCGCGACGAGATGTGCGAGCTCTTCGCTTTCTTTCCTTCGGGGTCACTGTGGAAAGTGCCTTTGGGTTTAAGTAAACCAAATACCTTAGGACTTTATGGTTTAGTTTCAGGTCTATGACCCTACCCTAAACCCCCTTTTTTCAACGGACCGTCTCCCTGCCTTTGGACGGAGGTGCCCCCCAAAATGCAGATCCGCAGTCGGCCATCCGGCAGCTCTTCTGCCAGTCGGGCCACGGCAGCGCGGCTCTGCTCCGACATAAACGCGGGAGGCGGGGCAAAGGCTGAAAAACGATGCTCAAGCTCCAGGCTGCTATCCGCTGCTCAACTTGTGGGCATATAGTGGTTAACAGCCAAGGACTGAATGCTTCTTGCAGATACGACAGCAAGTGTGATCGATCAAGCTATGCGGACACGACTTCGGCTGCCGAGAGCAGGGGGCGGCCGTCGCCAGTTTTAAGCTGCCAGATGCCAGATGAAAAAGGTTTCAGGGCAGTCCTAAACTTAGACAAGTCCACACCTGAGGCCGCGGGCGTGGAGGACAGTGCCGAAAGGTTTTGGCCCAGCTCCGCCAGGGTCGAGGTCGCATCTCAGGGAGGCCGGGGCTCCCATCGTGTGGCCGTGGCACAAAAAACGAAAACTTTGGCCAAGGAGCTGCTCAGGTTGAAGCCTTCTGCCGCGGCCCCGGCGGCACCGGCGGCCCCCTGCCTCAGAGACCATGTGTGAGGCCAAGCTGATACGTGCAACCCCGCAACTCCGCAGACGCGTGCCATCGCGCGCCCCTCTGCATCCCCCGATATCATCTGCAGACCTCTTCTGGCTCACAGAGCTGAGGTATGAGGATCCTCCCTGCTCACACAGCCATTGCCCTTCACTGGGAGAGAACAGAAACGTTGAACCCCGGAGACGACCCCCTAAACCCTTCCCTCTTTGTCCCCTCTTTGTCCCCTCTCCCTCTGCTCTTTTCGAAGTTCAGGTCCAGGCCTCGGAGGCGGGGGCCGGCTGGGTGGCGGCTGCGAGAGGAGCCCCTGCGGCCCCTTCGGAAGGCTCGCGCTGGCGGTGGGGGCGGAGTCCTGCGAAAGGCTGCGGGGACAGCGGGGGCCCGGGACTGTCCGGTCTCTCGCGAAGCTCTCAGCAGAGCCTTCTGTTTACTTAAGGTTCACCCAATGAAGACGTGTGATCCGTACATTCAAGCATACCTACGAGTCTTTTTTCTGTGGAAAAAGAGCACCAAGATGCAAACCTTGCAATGGACCGCCTGATCCGCCTGCAGGAGATGCCTTTGCCTGACCCCCTCAGACTCAAGCTCCACCACCCAAGTCCACGGACTCGAGAACCCACAAAGCCCAGGCCCTGAGCCGGAAAATCAGCTGTGACCACTCTCGTCTCTGTGCCTCTGTTCAAGCCCGCAGTGGAGGGGCGCAAGACAAGGAGCATTGCAGCATCGCACTCTCTCTCTCCCTCGCTCTGGCATCTCGGAAATCAGCACAACAGTGTTTCGCACGCTGCCCAGTCGATCCGACAGGCCTGAGCGCTGCAATCTGTCTTGAAACGCGAAACGCCAGCCTAGCGCTACCCGAGGGCACTCACTATAGCCGGCTGGTCGGCTCAAGCGGCGCTGGCCCTGCAAGGATGCAACCGCAAGCGACTGTAACTGGGCTGCTCTACTCTACGGAGCGCTCCCCGCGCCTCTGCCCAGATCTTTCGTTGAATCCAGGAATCCGATGAGTGCGACATTGGTTTCGTGTGGCTTCTCCTGTGTGTTCCAGTGACCGCAGTCTGGGATGTAGACGATCCCACGAAGGTCCGCGCACGTCTTGCGAAGCACGGCCGTCGAAGCTTCCATGCCACCATTCGTGTGGATGACGTTGTCGAGCTCCCCGGCGATGAATAAGAGAGGCTGCCTCGCTTGTACCGGCTTCTCCGCATGGCTCAAGGAAAACATGCAAGGAACATGAAGAGATGGCTGCGCCGGGTTGCAGGACTTTCCGTCCTCTCTTCTTCAACGGCTCCTGAACCTGCGCCCAATTTCGATCCAGGCAGCGATAGTAGTTCAGCCCTCCGCGAAATCCTGAGCTGCTCTGGGATTCGTCAGCAGTTCTGTGCATATCTGTGGCAGCGCAATACCTGCAAAGACGAGCTGCCCGACTTTCGAAACTCGTCGACGAAGCGGTCCAAGGCAGGCCGGGGAAGCCAGGAGGGCAAAGGTGCCTTACTTCAACTGGCACATGGGTAGTTCTCTAAATAAAGGTCCCTTCTAGGGTCCTTTTTGTAAGGGTGCCGTACTATATTGGGGACCTAAGAGGGGACCCTAATTTAGAAAACTACCCACATGTGGTTTCTGGAGGCTCACGCAAGCGCGGAACAGCTCTTGCCCAGACCTCAGCCTCACCCGGTGAAACGTGGCAAACGAGTAAACCTGGACTCATCCTGTCCGCAGTTCTGATTGCTTTTGCAGGAACGCCACATGGAGTTTTTTTGGTGACAGGTCTTCTTGACAAGGTTGGAGAAGCTCTCTCTATCAAGTCATGCGCTACGAGAAACCCCCCGGGCAGCAACTGAACCGTCTGTCTTCTTCATGAGCCTTGGCACCCCCCTGACCGGCTGCGGAAGGCGCGTGCGGCATCCACCACTGGAGCGCTTCAGATCCTTGTTGCGGTCGGCCTGCGGGTGCTGAAACAGGCCGACAAGATGCACACTGCTGCCTTTTGCCTTTCGACAAAGGCCCACCTCCAAGGGGATGGCTTTGACTTCGGAAGTCCCCAATGCACCAGAAAGATAGATTCGGAGAAGGAAGTTCTCTGGATCGGCATCATATTCTTGATCTGCCGGGCCAGAGACAGCTGAGGGGTCGTGGACAGGCCAGGACTCTCCGTAGCGGGTGTACTCGTTATGGTAGACGATGTAGTTGAAGTTGGGACCGTGTCTCGCAGCTAGCTCGACCACGGGAGGCCGCTGGCCATGGAGGATATGCGGCGGCACGCTCATAGCACAAAGCCTCAAGAAGCTTTCGCTTCGAGTTGCTCCAAGGCCATGTGCCTAAGATATCACGAGATCCTAAATGCCAAGTTGCCGAGGGAAGGCTTCCGGAAAGAGGCTGCCAATAAGCCTCGAGCTTCACGGTTTCACAGGAGGCTCTTTTTTGGTGAAGCCGTGTCTTTGGCTGACATGATACCATACATGGAGGGCGCCCCAGTCATGGCCAACAAGGGCATAGCAATCCTTTCCAAGAGCTCCTAGGAGTGACAGCAGGTCCTTGGCTTGAAATCCTCCGCAGAAGGTGACTCACCCTTGCATTGCGGCCGAGTCTCCTTCCCTATGCTCCTGGAATCGTAGCGAGCAACCTTGGATGTGCTGTCATAAGCTCGCCCTGTCGAGGCGCTCGAGGCTGCATCCTAGACACCTCCTTGGGGGAGTCCGTGCCTCCATAACCCGGCATGTCCGGCGCCACTGCGTAGTACCCAGCCTACCCAGCCTACACTGGTCTTCGGCTTTGGAGATGTCAGAGCACATCGGAACCTGCCTCTGCCAGGGCGGGCAGCTGCCAGCGCCACGAGAACCTGTGAAACTGCGTGCAGCCGATCGGACATCTGTGGCATTACCAGGCAGCGAGGAGCCAGCATTCGGGCCAGCCATGGACGAGCAGCACCAGTGGGTTGGCCTGTGCTGCGATTCTGTGGACCAAGCCTGATTTCACTCGTTTTGGTTGAGTCCTCAACCTTCTTAGCTTCAAGGCAGGTCGCGGGATCGCCCTGCTCGGCCACTCTCATGCGCAGGTCACCGACCTGCCAGAAGAACCCCTCCTGGCCGGTAACCCCATGGCCCATGCTTTCAGTGGCCTGCAGCACACGAAGCCGGAGCTCACCAGAGGCCATCGCTCGAGAGCTTGGATCACACCTTCTCGGTTGAATCTGCCTTCTCGGAAAATCCATCTGCTCGCACACTGTGACGTCATCATGACTAGCTTGGCAAAGCTGTGTTGCGAGCTTGCGAACTTTGTCAACGTCAAGGCTGTTAAGGCCGCGGCCATGCATCCTAATATACACATGACTTGTCTTTGGCTTGAACAAGTGGCGCCTACAACAGGTTGAGGCTTGAATTCGGGGTGTTAGGGAAACACGGCTAGAGCGGTTAAAGTCTTGGAGTTTGGGGTCATCCCAATGCAATTCAATTATCCACCGAAATATCCCTCGCACCGTCCTCGCGCGGCGTGTCCGTCTCCGCATCCTCGCCTCCCTCCACAGTTGAGAGCGGCAGAGGCGGAGGGCTGCTGATGGAGTTCTTCCTGGCTTTTGCCGGACATGCTACAAATCATCTCACCTCAAGCGGAGGTCTTGTAGGATCTCTCGGGAACTTTCCGTCACAGCAAAAAGAGCCTTCCGCTGTGTTCAAGCCGAGTTTCCAAGACATGCTTTCCCTCTTTCGCTTCGCACTCTCCCTCGCTCCATATCTTCTTCTCACACGTCATTGCATGGTTCAGGACACACTTCCCCACCCAAGCGATTTCGGGGTTTTTGTCTGCCTTTCCTCTCTAGGAAGTATACGCCTTTTCTGCAGAGCAGATGGCGGAAGGCCCTAGGCCCGGGGCCCTCCCAGAAACGCGCCTCGAGCCCTGGCTGCTGCCGGCCTTGGGAGCCTCAGAGATTCTTCGCCCAAACCACGCCATTCTTCGTAGGCCGAAAGCTTTCAGAAGAGGTTGTCACTCATAGTACGACAGAATATATTATATAAGCCCTATACAGCAGTAGCTCGGTTCAGGCCCGCATGCTTGAGTTCCAAGCTTCCGTGGACTCTGCATCGTCTTCATCGCCATCCTCCCTGCCATAGAGCCGCCTCCTGGCCAACACCAACGACTCTTCCATGCTTGTCTTGTTGCGCGGGGCAGAACTATCGTGGAGGGCCTGGAAATTGAAATCAGGTCTGTTCGTGACCAGTGCTTTGCCGTCGTGTCTCAATGGTTGCTGCGAAAGCCCAAATCCACCCGAATCAAAACACAGACCCGACCTGAACCTCACCCGCCGCGTGCTATGCAGCCCGGGCCACCTCCCCTTGGCCGCGCTGGGCGAGCTCCGCACATCTGGCGGATCCGGGAAAGTCACCCGCAGCTCGCCAAGTGCCTGAAGGCAGAAAAACCTCCGTCAGCCGTTCACACAGCACCCGGCTACACCACTGCGTATATCACTGCCTGACCAAGTGATCCTCTAATTACTGTCCCACCCATGAGTCAGTTGGAAGCGAACGCGTATAAAACCAGAGCACCCTTCGCGCAGCCCACTGTCTCCCTTGTCACACAGGACAACGCATCGGCGCAGCGTCGTGATCGTCATCGTGATCGTCATCCGTGCTCGTCGGCACCGACGAGCCTTCAGGGTCGACTTGAGCCGCTGCAGATGCGGGGCCAGGTCGCCTCGAGGCGATTCCACGTTCGCAAGGGCACCCTTGTCACGCCTCTTTGGCAGTGGACCACAGCTGCCTAGACAATGAAACCCCCGTGCCTTCACGCGGGGAGGAGGCCCCTCGAGCAACGCTCTCTGCCTGGAAAGCTCAGGAGCGGAAGCGAACATTCACCAGCCGCCCATGGGATGTGAGATCCGAAGAGAGAAGGGCTTTGGCCTCGTTGAGGAGCGAGATCACCTGCTTGGCCACTGCCCGGAGGCAGGCCCCGTAGGCGTGTGCGGACTCGGGCCTCGAAATGCAGTCGCCAATCTCTGTCGGAGAGATGAGCTGTGGCATGTGATGAATCAATACTGCGACTAGGGCTGAGGTTTCTGGGGCCGCGACGCTTGGCAGGCCTGGCACAGCAGCGTCAAAGCAGCAGTGCAGTGCACCACCAAAGGAAAGACGTGACCGCATTTGCTGCCACACCAGGCTTACTCCAAGTCGACCCATGCCAGATGCTTTGGCAGCGGTGCCTTGACGAAATCGGCCGCCGTCACTATCCGTGATGCAGACTTTGCCACTGGCACCACCTCTCATGTTCGTCATTTCTGATCCAGCAGCATCCAGCAGGCTTCGCGATGAGGTTTCGCCTCTGCCAGCCACTGCCGAACGGCATCCGCCCGCTCCTACCAGGTGGACCAGTCCCATGCCCCACGCAGTGATAAGCATATCTTTAAGCTCTTCGGACACTTCCTTCCAGCTGACGATGCGACGTTCCACGGATGCGGCTGCCTCGCAAAGAAGCGAGTTCTATTTTTGTGTTGGCGCCCGCTCACAGGACTGACGGGCCTGGCCCAACTCCTCCGCCTCCCGGCGCAGCTGCGCACCGAGAATGCCCGCCTTGGGGTCCGGCTCCCGCTATGCTCCGCTGACTCCGCGACTACTGCAGCTCCCGTCACAGCCTCGCGGCTGGCTTTCGCTTCCAGATCTGCACGGAGGCTATGCACCTCGGACCTCAAACTCTCGCAGGCAAGACGCTGTTCCCTACGAGTACTGCGCCCACTCTCTTTGGCTCCGCACTCGAGCTGGACTTGGAACTGCTCCTCTTGCTCCACGCTCTTCTCTTGCTTTTTGAGCACCTGTGCCACGTTGAAGCCCAGCTCGAAGGGCCTGCCCATGGTCCCCTGCCTGAGCGCTGGGTTTGAAGTCCTTGACATCTTGCTCCTCTTCGCCTCAAAGCAGGGAAGAACGGAGGATACGGACGCGAGTCTTCGAGACGGTTCTTCGCTGTGCGGGCAAGGTGCCGAAGAGCGCCTTCGCCTTGGCGTCGCTTTCCGCCTTGACTGCCCGGGACCTGCCAGGAAGAGGCGGGTTGAGACCCTGCAGACTCTAGCAGACTCTGGCACTCGCACTTAAAAGAGAAATGTCCGGGGCTGGCACTCGAGGGCTCGCAGAGTGTGCTGCAAAATGCCCTGGCTCTTCCTCCAGATTTGCTGCAGCCAGGAAGGGAGACGCAGGGCCAATCAGCACAAGCTCTCTGAACCTGGACCAGCTCAGGCCCTAGCCGGTTTGCCGTGCCGCTGACCTCCAAATCCTCTGTGTGAGAACTTGCGTGGTCAAAGTATCACACATTTGAGGTGATGGGGACTGTGAAGGATGCTTTCTCCCCTACCGCAAGCCGGTGTGCCAGCACCCACTCCCCAAAATAAAAACCGGCCCCGGTGGTGGCGGCCTTGAGCTCTTGCTGCAGCTCCTTAACGTTTGCGAAGACTTTCTTGTAGCAGGCAACCTTTGGCCTGGCAGGTCGAGCTGGGCTTTTTAGCTCGGAGACGTGCGCGGAACGGGGCACGGAGCCTGCTCTTATCCACAAGGCCAGCCTCCAAACGCTCCTGTCAGCGGCAGCTTCTTCCCTTCTAGGCCGAGGCAGGAACCGGTTTGTCTGAATCGCTTGCCAAAGAAGCCTTTTCGATCTGCGTGCTGATGGCAATCTTGTGAAGCGCGACCTCAGACCCGAAAGCCTAAACCAAACCTCAGCTGCGAAGACCCGAATGGGCCTGCATAACTCGGATCTCCGAACGAGGATCGTGGGAAGGGCTGTTGCTTGTGCCCGGTATCCAAACCCCATCAGATTCCCTAGACTCCTATGCCTTTCCTGGCAAAGCTACAAGGCATAACGGCCTAGTCTTCGGTCCCTTACTGTTGTCCGAAAAACTTGTCTAAAGAATCGTTATTTCAAGTTAGCCTCAGGCTTTCTTCCGGCAAGCTGTGCCATAAACACCCTCCATTATCCTGCTTGTTCTTTGCTGAGCGACCTGGAGCCCAGTCTAGCTTCCGCAGCTACAGTAGTCAATCGAAAAGACCCAAAATTGCGCTGCCATGGGGCCGTTTGCTCGTGCTTCTGCTTCCTTTCTTCACGAAGCTTCTCCTCAGCCTGCCAGAAGAGTTGGCTAAAGCAGCCCAGGGCAGCAGGTGCACCGCGCGCCTGCTTGGCCTCATCCTGGTGCTTCCTCTTGATCGCATCCACCTGTACGGGTCGCGATCGCGAGGCCCCAGGAGCTCTGACTTCAGCCGCTGACTCTTTCGGCTAATGAGTGTCTCTCATGGGCCTCCTTCCACAGCCTGATACCTCCGAGGGCCTGCTTAAAATCTCCACTACGAGTACCGCAGGACCATGACGATTTTGACCCCAATCAACCACTTCTTGAACCCGTCCCTACAGCACTGAGAACCAACATCTTGGTGCGCAAGCTCTCGATTCCACAAAGCCGATGATCCGCCTCCGGCTGTACTTTTTCAACAGCGGCCTTCAGTGCTGTCGTGGCAGCCTCCGGCACCGCAGAGTAGACGGCCATGGAAGCATCCGCCCACAAATACGAGAGGAGGCACTGCACAAGCTTGGAGTTGCAGGTAGACTTTAATTATTTAAGTAGCTTAAGATCAGGATCACAGGAGGCCTTGTTTTATATCTCGGTCTGTCAGGACCCGAATTCGCCGAGTTCCGCTGAAACCTTTCCCCCACGTCGGCCTTGCTCTCGGACATGAGGGCCGTGTGCTCCTCCACAACGCACCACATCTCTCCCTCTGAAGAACTCCTCTCTAAAGTCTAAAGTCTCTCCTCTTTAAAAGCTCGAAAAAAAGAGTTTCTGAAGTTTTTTCGCACTGTGGCCTGCTCCAAGGGCTTCAGGACCTTGTCCCTTGCAGCGGCAGCCCGCTCGACCGCCTCACTGCATCATACGTTGATTGCAGCATCCTTAAGAGGAGAGAAGAGGCTCCCAAACGCTCCCGTCTCAGCTCCGCCGCGCCTTCGTCGCCGCCTCCTCCCCGGATGCGACCAGCGCAGCCAGGGCTGCCGAGTCTTGCGGCTGGGTGCTTTTGCCTGTCTTTGCGTCGCAGGGGGCTTTATCGATATCACCTGCACTATCAGGAAGCCCACTGAACTCATGATTAATATTCGTCGTAGAACTTAGACGTAGTACTTATGCCGGGATGTTGCGCAGATCGGTCGGCTCAAGGGCTCGCGCCTGTGGCATACAGCTCCACATGCAACTTCCGCTTCAGGGAGTGAAGGCCTGCGACGAACGAGAAACTGTCATCGAACCTCTGCTCACTCCCCGACGGAATCATGGCCCAGCTCTCCTCTCTATGGATAATTAGTAGTGTAACGCTGCTCCCCCATGTCCATCCAAAAACATCCCAAGGGCCTACCCAAACATCCCGAGGGCACCTGACTGCAGCACTTGAAGAGTCGTAGAGGCGCCTCCGGCCGACCTGCAACACACAACGAAGCACTTTTTGCTGCCGATGCCTCAAAGCGGCCCCCTTCCCGACCCCCTCCGTGGGCTCCCCGCGATGCAGAGCGTCGAGCTGCTGCAATGGACCAGGAGGTCAGGAGGAGGTTGGAGACCTCGCGAGAAGGGGAGAGATAGCAGGTGTAAGCTCTTCCAGAAGGCGCGGCTGCCTCCCGAACAGCATCTTCCGTTGTGAGTCGGATGAGCACCTCGAAGGCACGAAGCAAAACGAGCACAGAGCTCTCAATTTCTGTGCAAAGCAAACGCTGTGAAGCATTGCTTGAGCTCCGAACGCCATGGTCCACGGACAGTGATCTGCGCATCTGCCTGTTAAATACCAGCTCTCCACCTGGCAGGTCTTGATCACCCCTTTTTGGGTCGCCATGCCTTCGGTCCTTCCCCTGCCTTGGCAGATCTGTGTCTGCAGGAGCGCGCGGATGCGGTGCCGGGCTCGGCGCTTGCAGATCCCCAGGGCGGCCTTGGCATGAGAATCTCGATTATATTGGCTGGCCATGGCCGTTGAAGCACAAAGGGCTCTGCAGGCGAATGAACATCTTTGCAACTGCCGCTTTTTGCAAAGTAGCTTGATGATGGTTCATTTTTCTAGCGGAAACGATGAAAAACAAGGACAGGGGGGTGATTTCTTTCGGCAAGGACAGATGAAGGTGCACACATCAGCAGTCGGCTTTTGGGAATCCGGCTAACATCAGCTCCGCTAGACTCCAAATAGATCTTGCGAAACGTCAACCCTGGACGAGAAGTCGCAGTTGCTATCCCTGTACAGAGCGAGATGCCACTGGGCTGCACAATCCCAGAAGACCTCAGCTCCTCACGACCATGTTATAGTGGAGGTTCTCACAATGTTAAAGCGTCGCACTTACTATTATTTACTTTTAAGGCTCAAAGCGGGCTCTCCCGTCGTGTCGGGCCCGCACCACAGAACGGTCAAGGAGGGCTGCAGAGAGGATGCTGTCCGGCATTCCGACCTCCTTTGGCTGCCATGAGACACTCCCAAGCTTAAGGTCTCTTCTGACTGTCGAAACCAACACAGTGCCGCATAGTACTATACATATAGACCTGACGGATGTATGAAGAGACAGTAGGCACAGGCATAGCGTTGTCCCAAAGCTCACAAGAGAAGCATCTACGATTGTAAAGCTTCGGCTATGCCTCCAGCAGTACTTGTGGAAGCCGGCTGAAAGCCAGTTGCCGTCGCAGTCGCATCAGTTTGTCCTGTACATCGGAAGCTGCACAGGCACGAAGCGAAGAGCAAGTAAAAGTATCTGAAACACTTCGACGGAAGCGCTGGCCCAGGGTTCCATCCAGTCGCCCGCTTATTAAGGCAACCTGCGCTGCCTGTCATGCCGCATGCGTTGAGGGTGACCTCGTGTCACTGTCCTCTTCGTCTGCATCGTTTTGGGCTTTCCACTCCAGCGCTGCAGTCACCTGTCAGCCCTACATGCCCGGCACCAATCTGCTTGGAACCCCAAGAGTCGGAACCCAAGCCTGCGACAACAAGACTTCGATGTGAAGCAAACGATCGCATTCCACCGGTTAGCATCGCCTTGCCCAACCAGGCTCTGCCACCAGCAGCTGTGCGCGGCGTGCCATCCGTCCTGGGTTCAGCAGTGCCGACAGCTAAGAGGCAGGAAGAAGCCAGAGTCACCGGGGCTTCCGCCCTCGAGACCGAGCGCCCTGCAAGGGCACGTTGCCCTCCAGCAAGGCTTCCAGGAGCCGGTTTGCTTCGGCCCTCGGAGATTTCTTAGGCTCAGAAGCCCTAACCCCGCCTAACCCCACCCACAAAACGAAACTTTCAAGGACATTTTCTCGCAGCGGCTCACATCTCCCTGAGACACCGGCGCCCTGCGCCGCATGGCCTCCGCCTTTGCGAGCCCGCCGCGCCAGAAGCTCTCGATCTGACCACGGGTGTGTCTGCATTTCCCCCAGAGCCCAGAGCTGAGGAGTAATTATCCAGTTCTGTTTGTTTCTTGCTTCTTTAAGTTGACTTTTATATAAGTATGTTGTATATGGCTGGACAACGTCCGTAGGGGCACCACCGTAGCGGACACAAGGTGTACTGGTAGCCAGCTTCCACAGCGAGATGCAGGACTCCACCCCGCAGTGCTGATGACACCACCATACGTTCGCGACGACACCCTACGGTCGCGCATAGCACAAAAGCAAAGCTCCGTGCAGCCTTGATGGCAGCCCGATTTCGCTTGACGATCCGGGCACGTGCCCGCCTGTCGCGTTGTTAAGACTGTCGAGGCTTCAAGGACACGAAGCGCAACTGAGACCGAGGCCCGAGGACGCCTCGCAAGAAAGCCTGCATGCGGATGACCTCCGTGTTTTCGGGCGGTTGAACCCTTGGGCATCTGCAGGAGCTTCCTTCCCATCAGGGTCAGTACCGCTGCGATGCCGGATAGCTGAGCCATGCGCCGCCAGGCGTCGGAAGGTGATTTGCGGCAACACCTCGACGCCGTTCCGGGGACGAAATTCCACCAGCAGTCTCAGGCATTTCAGGCATAGCAGAAGCAAGTTGACGGGCCTTCCTCCGAGCCACTACGCCGCGCCTCAGTTTGGGACAGTCCTATGACAAAAAGGCTCTTTGAGACGCGGTGGAATACGCCATGGGCTGGGCTCACGTAGCACCCTGTAGAGCCTTATTGACTTCTGTAGGCCACTGCAAGCCACGAAGTATGATCGACTGACCTCAAAAGTCTCTCTGCGAGGCGAAACAACTCCACAATGCTCTGGATGCTAGCGGCACATGACCACTGTTGCTCGGATTCCCCTGCACTATTGCTACTATTGCAGCTCTTCGGGCTGAAACAAAATTAATGATAGATTCCATCACTTCTCTCCCTCGTTGTGCCCGTTTGGCTCTTACTCTCAACCTTGGCGGCGAGTCTTGCTACCACTTGCCCCCAGTACAATTGCGATTGCCACTTTGCCTCAAAATTACGAGATTTTTCTCGGCTGCCGCACTCCCATCCGACCCTCACAGAAACGGCTCTAAATCCTGCTGTCTGAATTCCGAACCCTGAACCCTTGAAGTCTTGCGGGCTGGGAGCATGCAGCTCTGGATCTTCGTAACCGCCGCCTCTCGTCGAAGTTCCAGCTCCTTGCGCAACCGGTCCACCTGCCACCGCAAACCGCAGGCACCGAAGCTGTGCAAGCCTACATAGATAGATGGATGGCCTCGCCAGATGACAAATAGATACAGGTGAAACTACAAAGGTAGGTAGCACAGGCCCACACACCTATCTACCTCAGACAGACAAACAGAGAGACAGACGAAGCGATGCAGAGTTAATCCATCCACATTTGTACATATGTAGACATATAGGTATACATATACCGATGCATATACATACACATATGAAAGACGTGTACGTGTTGTGCGTGAAGAACTGACAGAGTATAATATACCAGGTTACAAACCTGTCATTAAGCATTATATTATGTTTTATGATCTTATCTTATCTGATACTATACTATTCTACATTACATTATGTTGCAGTATAATGTGTTGGCATATTATGTCCTATTATGTTATGTAGTTATGTTACGTTATATTGTACTTATTACATCTTATTGGTAATATGACATAATATTATACTATATTTCCATCATTATACCATATTAATGCGGAATATTTTTGCATATTCTACTTCAGCATATTATGATATATGATTTCATATCGAATTATGTTACGTAGACTATATTATATATCATGCTCTACGATACTACATCATACAATCATATACAATCAGCGAAATTATATATAATTATATATGAACAGATATACTGATATACTGAATGTGGGGTACATACATGCCACATATACTTTAGTGTTGTGCGAATATGTCTGTGTATGTTCAGATATCTGGATATGCGTGTATTTATGCAATGAAGCTTTAAAGCATCTATCATGAGCAACTCTTTCGGCACTGGTGCGTTTATCTATTCACAAACACCTGCGCATGAATTGGTGCTCTCGTCCGCTAAGCCGTTGATTGCACTGGTCACAGCTGGAACTGATTCTTAGTCTTAGACCGATAGAACCGACAGCAGAACCGACAAAGCCTGGGACGGTGCAACTGAGTAATCAGTCCACTTGGCCTCCCGCTTCGCCTTTCGTACTCTTGCAATACCCTGCACACCTCGGCGACCAGATGGCGCGATGGAGGGATCGCAAGAACAGCTAGTTTGCCGCAGCGCAGTATGCGCTCCAACAGTAAGAGCCGCAAACACTGCATGGTCGAACTTTTGGGAACATGCATGATTCAAAGGAAAGTCTAGCTGCATGAACTCCTCGCATCAGCATTCAGACATACAGCCGGTAACCATGAAATCTCAAACCCCAAACAGCGCTTTTCGACAACATGAAGCCCCTTGCATTTCGTGCCACTTCACATCACGCCACATCTTCCTCGTAAAACGGTGGCGTGTCTAACCAAGAAGACGCTTTGGCCCTGCATCCCGAAGCTGATACGGCTGGCTTCACCCGCTCCAGTGGACTCCAACATGCCGAACCGATGAAACGATTCCCAAAAAAAGCAAAACAACAAAACGGCGGCACAGAACAGCGAAAGTCACTGCTCCAAGGGTGCGACGAGCAGCTGCATGCTGTCGTCTCCGGAGCTGAGGCCCAGTGCCTGCTAGCCACGTCGCTGGATTAGGAGAAGATAGCGAGAAGTTCTAGTTGATACTAAATGGATTGCATCGCATATGTGTCTCTTATGGTGCATGCTTGGTAATGACGAGAAAGGCATCATGACGGAGACAAGCGGCCTACGAAACTACCAGCATGCCAGCTCCCCGACAGAAAGCTAACACAAAGCAACTAACACCACGATGTTCCTTGCACAGCGAGCCCAAGACAACGGCAGGTGGCGCGTCAGCTCGCGATCATTCGTCGAATCGTATCACACGTACGACTCGATTCGTAGCTGGCCACCCACGCAATGCTTACGTCGTGCTTACATAGTTACAAAACGGTGCAGTGAGTGAAGCAAGTTTTCAGCCTCGACCATATCCCAACGCCCAACGAGAGATGAGAAATGGTTGTGGCGCACAAGACAAAAGGCTTGTAGTATGAAATGCGTCCGTTTGTAGGTAATAGCATGGCTCACGCCATGTGACTTGTACGGTTTGTAGCATGCTGCACAGGTCAAACATCCAACAGTGCTGGGGTGGCGATCTGGCCTTGTCTTTCCAACAATACCGAAAGATTCTGGATTGTTTTGATCGCGCTCGAAATGCATCCAAGCTTACTGTTTGGGCCCCCAAACATTCATTGGCCAATCAGAGTGCTGAACGATATCGTGCTGTGCAACGCCACGTTGAGGAACGACTTCCGGCACCGAGACCGATTCCGGTCTCGAGATCAGAATTTGAAATGATGCGGAAGGCGAACGATGCAGGCGGGGTAACCCGGCAGCGGCAGGTGGCTCGTCCCGGACGGAAGCCACATGTAACAATGAAAGAACACAACTCCGCGGGGTGTACGCGTGTGCCTTGGCCTCCGCAAGGCAATCATGCGTCCAAAACAATTTCGAGATCATGAATGACATCTATGATCGTGCCCCGGCTCTGCGGAGTTCTGCGGTTCGGACCTGCATTATTTTCGGGACATGCAGCTACGGCAACTATTAGGGTTCTTTGTTCGGTCCCCTTCTGGAGCTGTGTTCACTGACGGCGGAGCCTGCACTACTTCTTCTTGTATCGGAGTGTGCGTGCCAGTCTCCGTCTCGAGGAAAGTCAAACATGACAAACACGACATCTGCGCCAGGAGGAGATCGTCGCCGACTCGCACCTGGCCACTTGGGCTCCTCCGTCGGTGATTCCTTTCCGACCTTCGCTGTAACTGTCGTTGTTGATATCTCTGGTGTGACCGGTGATGGGCCGGACCGGGAGGGGGAAGCGAGCTCGCACTTCTCCAAGCGTGTTGTGTTGAACGCAGGCTCGTAGAGTGTTCTGGTTTGGTCGACTACGCTTATCGCGGTGCTGCACTTTACCGAGAACTGAGCACTTCACGTCGTCGTCACTATGTAAAACCTTTATGCTCCGCGGCCAAGCTCTTGTCGCGGACACGCTCCCGGAATCGTAAGACTGGTCGCGGTTTGGAGCTTCATGGCATGCGCCGGCATGCATGCGCACGCTTCTCCACGTCGCTAAATAGCAACAAGACCCGCCGGTTCAAATGCAAGGGGTGTAACGAAAGCTTTGGGCCACGCGGGCGGGGAGCGCAACCGCCTGAATTGCTCTCTGCCCCGCTCTAGGAGAACGGGATGGCAAACGCGGTCACTAAACCCTAAAGCTTGCAAAGCTCCACACCCTAAACCTCCAGTGCTAAGCTCTAACCTTGAAGTTCCAAGCAATCCTGCAACAAATGTTGCGGCATCTTTGGCCTACTACACAGTCTAAACTCGCACGTGGAGCTGTGTTGGTGCTCGCGCACAACCACACTGATTCTCAGGGGAAGCGGTGTTTTGGAGGGCTCTAGGACGAGGCACCGTACTACATTTCCATCCGTGTAGCTTCGGGGCTCTTGCCGCGTTAACAATCTCATCGCACTACTTACAAGATAGCCTGAGCCCCGGCACAATAGAAGAACAACTTATGCGACGCTCATCCACCTCTCCATCCCAGCTGAGGTTCCAGCTCCGCCGCACCGCATGGCCCCGGAACTGACGCTGCAGGAGAAGGCAAGCGCGCAGCTCTGCACGCCTCTTCTAGGAGAAAATCCACAGCATTTAGGTGAAGTGGATGCGACGGCATTGGTCAGGGTCTCGGACCCTGTTCAAGCCAAATATAAGTACATGTGGTCTGTGAGTCGGGAAAGTTGCTGCTGCAAGTGTTCCTGCTGACCGTGTCAGCCACCTTAGGCGACAGAGTCTGTCTAAAGTTGTCGAGCGCCAGGGTGCACACAGGACGAGTGCACATTGCAAGTTGGACGACTCTCCAGAAACTCCTCAAGGCCCTTGACACAGCAACGCAATGGGTCGCCGGCTTTCTTCTGAACTCCTTCGTGATCTTTTGGGCTTCGTGCCGCCGCCAGGCCGTTTGGATCTAGGGGGCCGGGATCAGAGCAGAGTCTCCGCAGATCCGCTCATGTTCAGAGCCCTCCAAGGCCTCGGTCCGGGTTTCGGATTCTGCTCTCAGCTCGAGACCCACTGGGTCGCTGCATCACGCCGGAGCCTCTCGGCTCGGAACCTGGCAACAACAGAACGGCTCTCGTCGAGCTCAGATAACTCAAGGCCTGTTGTCTCTTCGGACTTTCATGGATGCACACGGAGCTTCTGCTGGCCTCTTTCTGTCTTGGATAGCCCGCGCAAACGACTGGATGCGGCTGGCTGCCTCAGCAGTTTCGACAGCTCGAGATTGTGATGTTAGAGCTTACACCACGCTGGCCACAAGAGGGGCACGACAGCATGTCACAGAGTGTGCGCCTTTCTCTCAGAGCACTAAAATGGCGAGATTGTGCTGCGAATAGCAACATACAGCAACAGCTGAAAACGGAATGCCACGCTTTGGGCTCGACGGAGCCTTCGTGCAGGCAAAAGCTATTGCCGATTCTATCACTACCTTTAAATGTACGATTAAAGTCGGAGCGTGTGGCTTATGCACGCTTTTGAAAGGGTTTGATTTCAGAGTTCTACAACCTACAAGGGTATGTACAGCGAGTGAGATCCGCTCTCGGGAACTGCGTGTGGTTTTATATTCGGCGTGGGCAGCAAGTCCAAAGGCCAGATAGCCATCTGCGGAGGGAAGGCAACGGGAAGCACCGTCGTCCAGAGCTCCTTGCCGTAACACAATCCCAGTACAAGTAGGATGTGCTGAACCCCATGTAACTTTTAAGTATCGACTCGAGAAATCCGGGTGCGGCGCCTGGACGACAGCACCCGAGGACTGCTTCCTTTGCACGAGCGGAGAAGGCTTCGGCTGACATGCAGATTTTCTGCACAATCGTGAAAGCCCGGCCTCGCTGAGGAGCTCCACCTGAAGTGATGTCGACGAACCCGATCGCAAGGGGGGAGCTGTGCGGAAGATCCTCCGGCTGTGCGAAGCAGGCCTTCGGTAAACGATTCAGTCTTCCCAGCAGACGTGAAGGTTGCCACATCTAAGAAGCATGGATACTCGCGGCTCCTGGTGCCAGACCTCCGTCAAGATGAAGGTGGCCTCGGCCCTGATCTGAACGTCGTAAGTGCCGTTGCTGTTGTTGCTCCAGTCCTCGGACCGTCGCAAAGGAAGGAATCTGAAGAAGCTGTCTGCCACCGGAATCGCCAAGCTCGAGTGCCGCAGAGTGTCTGTGGCCTGACACAGCACGCCGCGCGAACCTTCTTTGGCTCTGCCATGCGTCACAAATCCGAACCTGGACAGAAGATGGGGAAAAGCTGCCAGTCCTCTTTTAACATCGTTCCATGCTCTTTTTTCCATCTGTGTCAGTATGTTGCTTCAGCTCGGGGAGAGCAGACCGCAGGGCTTCTTCACTGATGCCTGCACCATCCTGCGTATCTCACATGAGTAAGCACACAATGACACACACACACACACGCGCGTCTCAGACGAAATATGACGAAACGAAACACCGCACAGTTCACATCACTTCATGCTGGAGGCCCGTGTCATTGGATCGGGGTTGTGTTCGAGTACATTTTCCGTCCACCGGCATCAGGAACGCCAGGTTTAGGTTTGGCAGGGCTTGAGTTCGGCTATCCTGATTGTCCGCAGGTTACTTACCAGGAAATCCTGAACTGCTTTCTCCCTTTTTAAGCTTGTGCAAGAATGCAGTTGAGGGGCATGTAGGGGGGCTCCCCTGCGAAGAGTCTTCGGCACATCCACCGGTATCTGGGTTCAAAGAAGTGGAGAGACATCCTGGCTCCAATGACTAAGTTGCAGCCCATGACGAAGAGCATATAGGGTCCTGGGCAGGCTAGGCTTTCTGTCTACAGTGAGTCTGCAGCCTGCTTAGAAGCCCTGGAGACATGGTTCCAATGAGAAACCGCAGAACCCATTCAACTCACAGCATCCGGTGCTAACCCGAACTCCAGATATTCTCGCGGCTTTGTACTCGTGACCCAACCCGACTTGCATCCCAGCGTCCTTCTCCAGAGGGTGCCAAGACCAGCCGGGGGCAGTCCTTGGCCAGCTGATCCTGGCGGGCTCGCACGCAGGCCCCAAAAATCCCCAAAAAGACCCACCACACCACGCTGCCCGGCGCCTGGAAGCGATGGCGCTGGGGGAAGGGAGGGAGCACCACCTTCTGCGCCAGCTGCCAGCTGCCTGGGGCCACTGCAGGTGCTCTCGAGAGAGCTCAGAAAGCTCAGCGCCGAGTAGCTCGAGAGCTTCAGCAACTGATCCAGGCACTCCTGTCAAGCACGGAACTGGTTCAAGAAAGGGGCCTTTGCCCTTGGCCTCGGGCCTTGGGCAAACTGAGCAAGTCCGGCCCGGTCCTGCTTGAGAGCCCACTTGCGGGGAATCTCGATCACCGATTCCTCATCTCACGACAATCTCGGACTTCGACTTCGAGCCCCACAGCGCCCCACATTGCATCCAAGCTTCTCGCCAGGAGCCCAAGGAAGTGCAGGCCAGGAAGAATCGACGGTCGATGGCGGCCACTCGCGGATAGCAGGTCAGATCCCCGAGCAGGAAGCTCAGAATTAGCTGCCTGCCAGGGGCCAGGGCCCGGGCCATCCTTAAAAGGGTTTAGGGTTCAGGGTTTTGGGGTTCAGGGTTTGGGGTTTAGGGTTTGGGGTTTGGGGTTTGGGGTTTAGGGTTTAGGGATTAGGGTGTAGGGTTCGGGGTTTAGGGTTTAGGGTTTGGGGTTTAGGGTTTAGGGTTGGGGAAAAAGTGCCTAGGCTGAGGCCCGCCTCTCATCATCGCTGAGGCAGGACAGCGTGGGTGCCACATGGCACGACAGCATTTTCCTTTGTGCCCTGCCCCTGAGAGACAATGCAGTCTATCTACATCTTGAGCCCGCCATGGCTGAAAGAACCACTTGCGACCATTTTGGACCTCGCGGGTCCGCACTCGAGGCACTAAAGGCACTCTACACCTCTCTGGGCCTCCGGCGAGATTCCGGCGCTTGCGCCAGGCGTCCAAGGTCTCTCTCAGCCCTTCTCGGCATCGGTGCCCTCGCCAGAGCGCCTGGATGCGGCGAGCGCAACGCCAGCGGTGTCGCTCCGCCTCCAACACCACCAGGCAAGCCAGGTATCGACGACCGCTGCGTTGGAAGAGGCGTACGCAGTTGATCTCCTTTGGCCCCAGGAGTAGCAAGCCATCTCGCATTGCCTTGCGCCGGGCGAGCTCGCGCTGAGCCCGGAAGGAACGCTGAGCTGCCTGGAGCTGCACCGCGGCTGCACTTCGCCGCTTCTGATGTTCGTCCCAAGCGCTTAGTAGCGTGGCCTGTGCCGAGAAACGCCTGCAGGCACCCTGCCAAGCGATCGAACCCCGGCACATGGCCACCAAGTCCTGTAGCTGCTGCTGGAGTTGAAAGCATCGAACGACGGACTGGATGGTCTTCGCAGCAGCCACCTGAGAGATGTGCGCATCTCACGCTCCACTCCTTTGTGCCCCCTGCCCACAGCCCTGCCTGAAGCTGGTGCTGTCGCTCCATCTCTGCCTGCTCCAACTCCAGAGTTGCAAGCAGCTCCTGGCCATAAGAAGAGGAATGCTACTGTTGATGGACAAAATTCTGCATGACCCAAATAGAGTATAGTACCATAAATCCCATAGTTTAGGTATATAAGGTCATGCAGGATTTTGTCCATCAGCCGTACTGTAGCCGCTATGCAGAAGGGAAACTCAGCTCCTTCTGAGCCCCTGCTCCGAAGCTGCGCCTTGGCTTGGTAGCGCCGGACGATGCTGCGAACCTCGGCCCGTGCGCTTGGACTCTGCTTCAAAAAGCTCAACATGTTAAACCCTAAACCCTAAACCCTAGACCCTAAACCCTAAACCCCAAACCCTAAACCCCAAAGCCTAAACCCCAAAGCCTAAACCTCCCAAAAGGGAAAGACTCTTCGTCTCAACTCAGCCCCAGGCCAGGGTTGCTGCGCTTTGCAGGCGCTCGGCCGAGGGAGGTGCAGGTGGAGGGCCTCCGAATCGCCAGGCAAACAGCGTGGACGTCTGGGGGGTTTCCGAAAATAGGGGACCCTAATATAGTACCCTAAATAATAGGATCCCTAATATCAGGACCCCAAAATAAGGTACCAGCGTGGACGCAAGGAACAGGAAAAAACACTGAATTACTAACATATTATAGGGGAAAAATATTGTTTCCCCTATAATATGTTTAGTGTTTTGAATCTTTTTTCCACGCCCTCGTTATTCGAGCTTCTTGGAACCCTGAACCCAAATGTGAAAGGTTTCTGCTCCCGAACACACGAACATTTCACTGCTGGGAGCCGCGCTGTGGAGGTGCGACACCAGGGCCTCTCCGAAACTGGATTATATCGAATAGCCACGTGAAGGAAACATGCCATTCTCTTGCGATGATGGCCAAAAGCATGGGCCGGTGTGTTAGTATGTGCTTCGAACGAGAAGGACTCTGATGTCCGCTACCCCGCTATCCTTCTCAGCTATCTTTATCATGATCGTGGTGAGGACGGTGCAGTGAAAGCGATCATGCATGCACAAACTGCCGGGCTTTTACCCTCACGATCCGCACTGCAGCGAGCCTTCGCAACCACCTCTGTGGTCTCACGGTAGTGGCGATAGGCAGCCTTCGATGTGCACAGCAATTTCACACTTTCTCGCAGTGCCTGAGTGACTCTTCTGTCTGCTCTTCTTCTGCCCACTTACCTCTTGTGCACTATCAGGGGTGTTGGGCGTTGCAACCAGGCTCTCGCCATCTCGTCGGGCCCCCGTCCGGGCTCTGAGTCGTGGGCCCACGTGAGCTCTCTGCATGCTCGGTAAAACATGAGTGACCAACTTGTTCGTCGTCGGATTGCTTCACACCAGTTTTTGCAAGACCGTTGTCACTTCTCGCATTGGTGAGAGTTGCTTCCAGCAGTTAGCGATCAGGTAATGGATGCATCCACAGTTTTTGGCTGGCATTCACAACAAAGACCTCCAAGGGTTTCAATGGCTTGTGCTTTACAAGCGTTCTGACAGGCTATGTCGTGTCTGAATTGTCCCAGTAGCTGAAGCGACACAGAACAGCGATATAACCAAGATTTTCCTGGCTGCGCTTTTGCCACCTTCTGTTTCGCCAGGATTGTACAGACTCTCAGGGCAGGTTCGCGTCTTCGTCTAACTTTCCACGAGGCGCGGCCCAACAAGAACCCGGCGGTTGCCTGCGAACAACTTATTATGTCTTATACCCCTGCCCGGCGAGCCTGGATAGCTCCTGCCGCCCTTTCGCGAGCCTTTCCATGGGCAGCTGAGCTGAGAGAAGGATTCAAGGGTCGACACGACGAAACACACAGGGCGCCTGGATTCCAACAAGTTGGCATTGCAGGCTTTATGCATGTCATGACGGTCTTTTGAATGTAGATCTTTCCCGTTCAGCCTACTCCGTTGCCGCGTGCACGGCAAGCTCGTTAACGTGCGAGTTGAAACTCAGCACTGGCAGTTAATTAGTGGCAGCACGGACTGCAGAGTCTAGAAGTTACACACCAGCTGCATGCATATTCACACGTTCTGGGTTGCCTGTCTAGGGTCCGACTATTGACACACAGCAAACACCGAGACGCACTTGGGAGGAACCGATTCTTCGCTTCGGGCAGGCAGGCGTTCTCAACTGTCTCAACTGGCAACCCAGAATCGCAGCGCACAGTGCCTGCTGTACACACTCCCACGAAAAGCAGGGAGTGCTGGCTGCACCACGCAGCAATGCGCATCCTATCCTAACCTACATCCATCGCATGACAGCAGCATCGGGAGCAGATTGCTCAATGCTGCGAGCAAAGCCGCTGCTCATAAGCAAGAAGCCACTCGGTGGACACCAAATCAAAATGAGACCTCGGAAGGAGGAGGAGGAGGAGGCAGCTTCATTCTTTGTTGCACCTGTCAGTTCGATAAGTTACCACGGACACTGCACCGGCAGGCTTGACCGAGCCCCAGCCCAAGAAGCATGGGATCTTCTAGCCATCCTAAGCACATGAAGATCAAATGCCAGCTGCGGGGCTTTCCATTGTGGAGGAGAACGATGCACTCTTTGCCGTGGTACTCCTGCCGGTCAGCTACTGTAGTCTTTTGTCACTCAAAACTCACCAGAGCAGCAACGCCTAGGTAATCAGGATCTACGACACACCTTAGCCAAGCGATGCCAGGAACTCTCACCCCCATGCAGTCGCATTACCAACTTCCAATATCTACAGGGCCAGCCCTTCAACGGCGCCCAAAAATCGGGATGAACACCTAAGCCTAGGCCAACCCAGTCTATGGTGGCCCGACAGCATCGGAGCGTGGCGATCCCCCGATCCCATCGGCTCCCGCACAAGGGGCGTATCGCGATGCTGAGGATGAAGCTGTGGAAGATGAGCTAAAAACTCCGCGCTCGTGGAGACCCGTGGGCCAAAAGTGTTAAGGCTTCGTGGTGCTCGGAGAAGCAGCTTGGCTCTAGTGGTAAGGAAACGAAGCACCTTCCAACAACATGCATCTCTAGTGCGAAAAACGTCACCCCAAGTGCTAAGGCTAAGGCCTAACTACGACTTTGCCAGGAACCTTTAACTTCCTCGAAGTCCAGCTGCAAGGCTTCTGTCCTTCTTCGAAGGGATGTAAAGCCCAGCATCGAAGAGCTCCTGCTTCTCCCAGTTACAGGAGTACACTTGCAGCGGTCGCTTCACCACATCCGGGAGGAACCTTGGAAGCTATGGCTCCATGACAAGATTTTTCTCACAGTCTCTCGTGGACTCTTCTGGTGTCTCCTTCGGCCCTCCGGAGTTTACTAGGCAGTGCTCTGTTCCCTAGAACTGCTCATCAGCTCTGCCCGACCCGAGCGCGAAGTGCTATAGTCTATAGTTGCATCATCTTGTATCAGGCTGAAAAAGCTGGGCCACTTCAGGCAGATCTCGTCACCCCAAGTTTGCCACTCGCTCATCCGCTGCACGTAGGCCTGCAGGTCTTGGGCATGCCAAACTGGAGCCACTGCTGAAATTAAATTGGGAGTTTCCGAAATTAGGGGACCCTAATATAGTACCCTAAATAGTAGGATCCTTGCTATAAGGTCCCCAAAATAAGGTACCCCTAATTTTCGGAAACCCTCAAATTGGCTTTGGGTAGGGACGAAGAAAACCGACCACTGCACCGAGCCTCGAAGGTGACGTTCTCCAACAGGGGCTTTACCTCATCCTCGCTGAGCGCATGCTGCAAGTCGGCACAGGCTCTACCTTCCCTAGCTGCCCTACCTATAGTCTCCATTGTAGTTCCTTTTTTTGGTTTAACCAATATTATATGAAGGATCCTATAAGGTAACCCCAAAAAGGGAGCGAGTATTTTTATTGTCTA